GTGCCAGCTAAGCACCGAGTCCACCTGGCCATGGGACTGGAGGGCGCTGCTGTGCGGGGCATGGAGTTCCCCGCAAGACAACAGATTTGAAGAAAATATATTCAAAGTATGGAGGACAACAATCCTCTGGGCGCTATGGCGAAAGCAATGCGTACATGTGATGGAAAATGTGCTCATAGCGGGGGTGGGAAATGAAGGACATCATTAGGCAGCAAATCCAGCTGGGCATCACAGACCAATGGATGAAGGTTAGACCTCTATCCTGAAAAGAAATGCATAAGACATCAATACAACTGTTTTTGGAGGAGTGGCTGGGGATAACGCAACTTAGGGTGATGGATAGCTGAAGATTGGTGGGAGGGGAGCAACCAAGGGAGAGAGGCAGAACCCAAGCGAGACTACAGGCTGTTCTTCAAGGATTGGGCGTCAGTGGATGCAGCAATCCCGCTGCGCCCACCGTCAGATTTCCCGGACCTCTTCCGGCCACATGGCCTGTAGCTGGTGGACCCACAGTCGTGTGGAGGTGGGCAGTAGCAGGCCGCGACAGACTTCAGTCAAGCAAGACCCAGCTGTACACACCAGACAAACACAGTTGTCTCAGCAGGCCGATGGAGGAGGCAGCCAGGCATACTTCGGTAGAATTGACAGCGCGAAGGGGCTAAGGAGTCTGGCCCTCTTCCTGCTTTATCTCTAGCCGAAGACGGGTAATTGCCCCAGTGGTGGAACAAAATTGACGGACATATGCGATTCTGGACCTGGTTTCCAGCAGGTGCTGCTGCCCCCCATCAATAGACTGGGGCGCCCGGGAAAGGACCTGCTAGTAAGGGATGCTCATATCACCCCCACTAGCAGGCTACCCAGCTCGTTTTCATTATTAAAAAAAAAAAGTTACACAAAAAGAGAAGATTAGCACGAATCGAGAAATGATCAAAACTTAAACCACCAATAAACACAGGCCAGGAAAGTCGCCAGGGGCGCACTTCTTTTTTTTTTTTTTCGGCTGGAGCTGCCAGCCATTATCCAGTAGGCCCGAACCTCCGTATTTTAGGAGTGGGTCATGTACTGGCGGTTTAAGGGAAAATAAAAAGAAAAAGAAGGATTCCGTTGGCCTAGTCGGAGGGAAAAAGAGAGGCGGCAGACCTTCCTGCCTAGTCCTCTTGCGTCGACAATCACAGAAAGTCGGAGACTGAAGTCCACTCAAGACATTTAGTCATCGATACGATATCAGAGACCTTAACTTGTTACAGCAAATGACATCAACCGCCAAGAAAGAACACCATGGTTTCCACCATAGCCCGCATTCCCTGCTGCTCAGGCAACTCACCTCAGTGCGAAAGATCGGACTTAGAAACAAGTGTGGCCACATCAGTTTTTCAGTCCAAATTTCTCCAAAAAGGCAAAGAAAAACAGTAAATGGCATCTTGAACACGGCTGCAGTTCAAAAAGGCGAAAAAAAAAACATGAAACGGCAGTCTCCACACCACTATACATTTCTGGTTTTGAACCATTGAAATGGCATTTTGCTCAGATTTCAAAGTAAAAATCTGACCCCCATACATTAAATAAGATGCAGTTTGTCTCTTGAACTAAACACTGCAGCGAGGAGTTATGGCGGTAGCAACATATGTTCATCCCGCGTCCGTCAGTTCTTCTTTCAACAGTTGAAGACGTGGAGATACGTTCTGCTCCCCAGTGAGAAGTAAACTCACTGCTTATCACCCATAAGAACTTACGGCTCCCTAGACAGAGCGTAGATTTCCTGTGTGCAGAAAAAAAAAAGAAAAAAAAAGGACTTACGGCTCCTCATGTGTCCCAGTCTCCCAGCCATTAAAAATTCTACAATGTGCTTAAACCACCAGTACCTTTCCCCGCTTGAAAAACAGTTCAGTGCCGGTTAACACGGGCAACTTTCAACGGTTAGGAGGGACCAGGCGGAAACGGCTGGCAGCGCCAGCCAAAATGAGGCCCACGCCGGTTCGTTTTTTTTTTTTTTTTGCGCATGGAGGGCGATTTTAGGCTCAGCATCAATAGCTGTGAAAGGTACTGGTGGTTTAAAGTTGCCTCTGAGGCTCCTTTTTTTTGCCGAGGAGGATTCTCCTTACGTGACCAAGAATGTAAATGAACCACAATGAAGGTGTTTACGTTTTCGTGTTCGGCAAATAGCAACGTTGAATCTGAGAACCCGGAATGTTACATTTTTAAGGGGCAAGTCCCACGAGCAGCGTTTAGTGTCCTCAACGCCTAAATCTGGTCGTCTTTGTGTCGTCAACCGCCCATCTCCACAAACTCAACGCTGCTAGTGGGACTTTGCCCTTATTCTCAAGTTGGCCTGATCCAGGCGCTGACCAGGCATTCCATTCGGGCAAAGACGGACGGTAGTGCATGCACAAGTCATTTGTCAAAACGGTCGAGGCACAAAGAGGCCGAGAGACGACTACTTCATGGGACCAATTTCCTTTCACTTCCCCTGCTCTGGCCTCCTTACCACACTTCTCAAGCAGCCTTCCTGAATTTCCATCGTATTAAACCCACCACTCCAACGGCCCCTGCGCTGTTCATTTTTCTTGTCCTCGAGCACCGGGCCAAAACTTACAGTACCCAGGCCGGGTAGAGGTCCGGAGGGGAAGGATACCTCAACTAGTTTTCCTCGCAGCGGCACTGTAGATTTTAGGCTCAGGGAACAAAATTAGCTTTGTCAAACAGGTCCAGGCGGAGTGATGGTTTAAGGGCCTCGCTCCACTACCCACAAAATAAGCAAAATGAAATGAATCTTCCACTAGGACATGCAAACATACATTGCCATATTTCATGTATTTCGTGCACATGGTGAGTAGTACAGCAAGAGCAAGAGATGGTTCATGGAAGGCCCAAATTTTGCGGCAAGCCGTCCAAAATTTCACGAGCAAACAATGCAGGCTCATAATACAAACATCAAGAAAACAAACAGGCAAACAAAGACGAGTTAAGAAAAACCAAAAAGCACTACAAAAACCTATTCGGAGTTCATCAATTTTTTCTCCGAATTCGGTGTTTTTGCCAACTTTTTCGTTACTGGTCCAAATACGTTGAAAAATCTTGAAACTGAATACAGATATACCCTAATGCACATACATATCGCGCACACACACACACAAAAAGAAGCAAAAATTCAGGGAAATATGGCAGTTTCGGCGAAAATTTCACCAAAAAGGACACCACCTATTAACCATTAGTGGCAAGAGCAAAGCCCTTGACTGTGCTAGAGAAGTGGAGGGCTTCAGAGCTATTGCTAGCATTGAACCTGCCCTGAAACGGGCCAAGGATCCATCGGCTGCATTAGAAATGACCGGTACTACAACCCTCTTCCACCCAACCAGGCGTTCTATTCCCGTGAAGACGGTAGTATTTGGCCCACACGTGAGCCACAGGCCCTTGTCGTATACGTGCCGCAACTTTCAGGGCTCTGGCCAGAGCAAATTGGCTGGCGGTGCCAGCCAAAAGAAAGTTGCATCAGTTCGTTTTTTTTGACACAAGGCACATTTCCAGTATCGGAGAAAGTTGCCTCGGAAATACTGGTGGTTCAATGCCAAATTGCAAACCTCCCACGTCATGAGCCTCGCTACAGTACAGAATTATGCCAGGAAATCATCCAGATACATTCAGAATGCAGGGTCGGTCTGAATGTATTGGCTGGTCTATGCTGTGCAGTGACACGATGTACTATCCCCTCGCATTCTATCCGAGTTGTGTGTATTCTATATTCTGTTTCAAGTTTCATGGAGCACCTGCTAGGCCACTGGCTGAGGGCCTCTCCTATTCCGTTCAGCCTAGACACAGAAATTGCTGCCACCAAATTTGCATGCACATCAATACTCAGGGGATGCAAACAATGATTTGTCAAAGAATCAGTGACAGAAGTATATAAAGCCATACTGAAGCTCTTCCCAGACATATCCGGCTTCACCCAGTGTAACGGAAACATAATAAAGGGCAGATTTAAGGTCTGCGTGCATAGTGTACGACTCTAGGACCTGCAGTTCCGGCGAGCAGAAGTGCCAGACGACTTCCAGGCATTCACTGTAAGAGACCATGGTGATAGGCTGTGTCTGAAAAACAGAGAGAGAGAGAGAGAGAGAGAGAGAGAGAGAGAGAGAGAAGAGGGGAGGGGGGGCATGCAAAGACTTGGGGCCTCGCTGCACTACTCTGGACTCGAGCTTTTTCTTGCATGCGGCATGGCTGCACTGACTCTGTAAATGGGCGCTCGAAAACCTGTTCTAGAGTTGTCAGAACGGCTCTTTAAAGCTAATAGAGTCTTCATCGCTCCACTTACTCAATAAGTTCGCTCTAGATTTTTCATTTCTAGAGCTGTCAGAGCGGGTCACTCCTCACTCTAGATCGATCGAGAGTACCAGCCTGCAAAGGCCGTTTTTTTTAGGGAGGTCCAGAGGACCCTTGAAACGCCTTGGTTTTCCTAGAGTGGGCCTTGAGTCTGGACGGACAACCCAGGCTGGCGCTGTCCTGGTGTGAAATGGCCAAACTCAGAAAGCGACGGAGCAACTCTAGCTTTTCTAGAGTCTAGAGCTAGTGCAGCGATGCGTAGATTTTAGGACTTTTCGTGACTTTGACAGCTCTAGAACAACTCTAGAAAATTTTCACAAGTCTAGAGCAGTGCAGCGAGACCCTTGGGCAACAAAAAGATAGACTCGGCGCAAGAGGTAGGAGGGAGGAGCAGTGAGCAGATACAGAGGGGGAAAAGAGACAAGGAGGGAAACAGAGGGAGACATGGGGACTAAAAGACTGACAATTCATCACAGACAGAGAAGTGAAGACAGTAAGGGAAGGAGAGAACGAGAGAGGAAGTACCACGAAGATGCAGGCAGAGAGGCTGGAACAGGGGGAACGTGAGAACAAGAAGGCGAGAAGGAACGGACAACAGGGAGAGAGATTTGGAGAAAGTGAGGAGAAGACACAGTGAGAGAGAGGCAGACACACAGAGCCAACACGAAGTGTGAAATGCGTACCGTTGCTGGGTCTGAGGCAAGCAAGTGGGCCGAAAGGAGACCACCCAAAACTCTTATATTTGTTTCGAAGACAGAAACTGTGATATCCTGCTCACAAAATGAAGAAGACAACCAACACCACTCTGCGTTA